AACACAATCGCTAATTTTAGTAACCAGCACTAATTATATATAAATTAAAAGAATTATAAAAGAAATAAAAAATTTAACATTCAGAGCTTCAAAAACAATGTAGAGAATAGTGAGAAAATTCATATCAGAACTAATCAAAACTATTTGAAATATAAAATAATATGCACGTTTAATCCACAATTCGCCTTGAAATGAGCTGCTCTGGTAACACCACCTTATATGAATTCGCCTTAGTTTGATCGATTCATAATAAAGCCAACTGCCTGAAAAAAAAATTAAAAAATTAAAAATTAAATAAATTAAAAACAAAACACAATAATGCAATACAACTCCTGAATAAATAAAAAGTATTATATAAATTGCTATACGTATGACCAAAGTAAAATAGTTTTAATTAAAAATTAACAAAAGAAAAATACAATAGAAATAAAAAGTAGGAATTAAACAATGTCGAATGATTTATTTGAATATTTTGGCCGTCTTTCGAAAAGTCATATTAATTAAAATTTCGTATCAAATAAGAAAGGAACAAATAACTTGTTCCAAGTGCTCTATTTTCTCAAATAGTTATAACATAATTAAAATATTTGTTACCTTCAATAAGATTATAACCTTAATTTTTGATCAGAGCTAGTTATGAAAATTTAAAAATTTTTGTGTAAAAAGATATCTCGTTTTATAAATAATATTTATTAAGAAAGATTTATATTTGTATCAATCATAACAAAATTTTTGAGTAGTTAGTTGCAGATTTTTTGACAGATATTCTATTGAAACTTATTTTGATTAGTTCTAAGCTCTTACGAGTACCACCAAAATTTTTACCTTCATCCATTCCTGTCAAGCAAAAACTTTTTGGAAACTCGTCGCTACTAAATATATTTCATCAACTCTTTTACCCTCCATTTTACACAGCACGTTCGTACACCTAGAAATAAATTGTAGCCGAAAGTCACTTGAAAAAATTCATTTAATAATTTTTTTACTCTACCCCATCTAGATACTCTCCATACGCCCACCACTCTGCGTCACCTATGATGATGTTGATTTGGCATTGAATGTTTTAGCAACTGTTTGCAAGCAGCATTTGGATAAAAGAATACGCAATTGGCGTAGAAATGTATGAAAAGGGAATGGATAACACCACAAGTGGGAATGGTAACCAACCAGCCTATCTACGAAAACTGACGCGAAGCAACAGGCGCATGTTGGATGTACAGTATAAGTATATATATTCGTCCAGTCTTGAAATATGTATAAGACGCTATATTTCGAACAATGAGTATAATTTTAAGAATATACAGCCATAACTATTTTAGGTATTAAATTTATTTGAAGTGTTTGATAACAATATATTTCCTATCTAGTGTTAAATTTAGTGCATATTTTTGTACAAAATATAACAATGAATTATTGTATAAATTGTGACAAAATTAACTCAAATAGAGAGAGAGAGAGAGAGAGGTAAAAACTTCTTTTAGCCATTTTATTTAAATATTTTGCAAATCTTTGAATACAACATTTTGCATGCATAAAGCGAAGCAAAGCTGCATACGAATAAGAAGGATTCGATCTTTATTAAAAGATTTCGTATTATTTTGATTTGGTCGGATTTTCGGTGTCTCTTTTGGACTTAGCAAACTTTCCTTTCATTGCATATAACCGAGAAAATTAGAAAAAGTGCCTTAATCCTTTTCGAATCAATGCTTTTTTAATATCCTTTGCTTCGTATATAAAAGTATGAGTTTTCATAAAAAGTGGACTTAGCACACTCTCATTTTTGATATAAGGTGTTATAAATTGTATGTATCCGGGCGATGATTGATAGATAAAAACCATTTTATTAGGCTGACAAGATTTCACATTTATTTTTCTCAACTAAAAAACTTAGAATCGATTGGTTTAAAGTATAAAGTAAATGACACGTAGTTATAGAGTTTTTTTTATACATAAATGACTATTGTCAATAACAAGGGCCTTTAACATTTGTATATGTATATGGAATATACGTATGTATGTATGTACAGTATCGGTCATATCTATAGCACGCCATTTCGAAGTGATATTGTGTGCAACTTATGTTTATTTGTTTATTTTTGAGAATTTTCAATTAAAATACAGTTCTTTCTCTAACAAACCCCATATAAACCCAAGTTTAACAATTTGTAGAAAACTTCAAAAAAGTGCAACAAAGTTTCAACTAAGTTTCAAACTTTTTTCTCGGAAGTGTTAGAATTTTTTCGAGTACACATTTTTTTAGCCACTGCAATTTTAGTCTGATAATGTGCAAATTTCAAGTGGCTACGAATTACCGTTAATTTTTTAGAATTTTTTTTGTCGCATTGGCTTCCATATAATGAATAAACTCAAATTATTTGTATATGGATGAAAACCGCAGCACCTTTGGCGAAAAAAATTCTAAAAAATCGACGGTAACTTTCAGTCACTTGAAACTTGCACATTATCAGACTAAAATTGATTGGGCTAAAAAACTGTGTACTCGAAAAAATTCTAAAACTTCAGAGAAAAAAGTTTGAAACTTAGGTGAAAATTTGTTGCACTTTTTTGAAGTTTTCTACAAATTGTTAAACTTGGGTTTATATGGGGTTTGTTAGAGAAAAAACTGTATTTTAATTGAAAATTCTTAAAAATAAATAAATAAACATAAGTGGCACACAATATCACTTTGAAATGGCGTGCTATAGATATGACCGATACTGTATGTACATACATACTATGTCTGTAGTATAATACAAAAATCACTTATAAATCTAATAACGGCTTAGAAGAGTACCAAATACACCCCTAATCAAACAGCTTACTTATAATAATTATTCAAATTTATATACATGTATAAAGAGCCTACAAAAATTTCATATGCCGTATAAACTCCAATAAAAAGGACATATTTTTTTGGTACTCAAATTTTCTTATTCGCTTAAGGGCTAAGCTAAGCGTAAATAATCATATTTACAAAGTTCAAAAATGTGTTAATAATTTGGTGCACAAAAACTGATTTCGAAAGTTGAGTCTGGATTGAATTATTAGAGAAAAGCTTGTATCAATAGCATAGAACATGAAATAATTGTATGATTTACAAGAATACATCCATTTATGTATCTAAAACGTGCCGATAAGTCATTCGAAGTTTATGTATGTAAATACAGTCAGAGTCAAATGTAAGTGTACACCTTGTTCTATTATAATATTCACAATAATTTTAATGAACAATTTTTTTCGTTTCATACTTTATATAAAGTTCACAAAAATTCAAAATTTTTATTTAGAATTTCTAGAGGATTTTTGAGTATGTAGTTTTGTATTCAATTTTAGCGTTTCTCCCATATAAAAATTTACACCCTCCACAAAAAAAATCTAAAAAAACAACGGTAATTTCCAGCGACTTGAAACTTGCACTATTGAACGGGCTACAAAACTGCATACTCGAAAATTTTCTAGAAATCCTTAACAAAGTTTTTTAAATTTTGATGGAAATTTTTTTTTTTTTTTTTAACTTAAAAAGTGTGAAAAAACTTTGTTTACTTTATTATTTACCTTCACGGTTTATGTCATAGAATTACCTATATTTTCATAAATAATTAATGAAAAATACAGTAGAATTCGGTTATAACGACTTCCAAGGGACCGGTGAAAATATGCCGTACTAACCGGACGTCGTATAAGCAGAACTGCTCTTTTGAATTTTTATTTTTTTTTTTGTATATTTCTGCTATACGACATTTTTGCGCACGTAGTGATTAATCAACTGACATTTCAACTATCGAGTGCACATTACTTAAGTATTTTTGACGAACAAAAATGCAATTGACGTCTGTTGAAAAAATTCGAATGAAAAATTTGCTGTGGACTAACCGCTATCCACACTAGGCGTCTTCAATGTTCAGCCACTGCATAACATGTAACAATATGTTGTGCGAAGCTTCTAATTCTCTGTAAATTTTTAAGACTTTCGTCGATTTAACCGGACAATTTATTCATAAATTTCGTCGCTTAAAGCGGAGTCGTATTAAGCGGATGTACCCTCATAGTAATTTGTATAAAAATCAAATTCTAGGTTGTGTTTACGTCATTATAAGCGGTCGGTCATTATATGCGGTCGTGTAACTGTGAATATTATACTAGAACCATGATACAAAAACTTCAAGGAAAACCACTGGGAGGCAGCCCGAACATTTTTGAAGTTTGCTAACATAACCAAAATGTTTTCAAATTTTCAATCTCACAAATACGTTCTCATTATTAGTCTCAAATAAAAGAAAATTTGAATAATTTCATCTATTTGTTTTTTTGTTTTACTGTTATTTGGCCTTTGAGTTGCTCTCAAAATTTCAATTTTATAAAGTAGACAAACTTCAAAAAGTAAATGATGGCCGAAGAATTGAGCGAGCGGTTTATCTTTAAATATATGTATCATGACTAAAATTGAATTTAACATTGCTCTCAGAAGAACCATTCTATAAAGTCAAATTGGATTGTTTTTTATGAATTGTCAAACGTTTATTTATATCTTTTTGGTATTATAGTACCTTAAAATAGAGTCGCACACATCTTGTTAAATACACCTGGACTAGAACAACGTGTACATTTACATTTGACACTGACTGTATGTACATACATACATAATTTTTAAAATGCGAGTGTCAAAGAAGAGTCTGTCAGAAGCCTATTAAAACTGATTAACTAGTGTAAAAATTTTGTAAGAAATAGTCGCAGTTTAGTTTGGTTTTCAAACTCAGACCTTTTTTTTAACATTTCTAGGGATTAGAATTTAAAAGCGAGTTTTACAGTTTTTAGATATGCATACATACATATCGTCGATGTTTCTGCAAAACCGCCCATCGCACAATTGCAAAGCCGCACTCAATTTTACAGGAGAGCGATAAACGGTTTATTCTTTGAAGGCATTGCCTTGATAGGCGGTATTTTCTCTAGCTATTATTTCACAAATCTGTTTTAATAACGATTTTTATGCGTAGATCTCGATGCCTGGAGTTCAGGGTTACCAAATCTCATTTTTGCCACAATGGCGATTTAAGCGGTTTTGAAACTGGTCGATGGGCGATTTTGCAAAAACATCGACTACAGTATAAAAAGTATTACAAAATGGAATCCAATATGTAAGAAGGATATATCGCACACATTCATACGCATGTATGTATGTATATACATATGTACAAATATCTATAATTTTAAAAACTAAATTTATAATATAAAATGAAATGCAATATCATATTGTTATATATTAAATCGATTTTTGAACAACCGTGAAGCATTTTACTGCATTTTTAATTACAAAAACAGCTGCAATTTCATAGATGTATGTATGTATATGTATAATTTAATAACATCCTTTTTTCTAATGATCGGAATTACTAATCTTAGAATCGAAGAGGTCAAAACAAAATAGGTTGCTTATGTTACTCTGTCACAGCTGAGCTATTATTTGTTATTTCGAAAGCATATTTTTGTATACCCAAATTTTTATAAATATAAAATTAAAAATACACATTACATTTCGGTTGTTAATACTTGTCTTTAATGTTAAATAAATATGTAGGCTTAACTTGTAAGAAAATTCAGGATTTTAATTGAACAAATGTATTTAGATACTCCATATGTATCTATGTATGTATATTAAATATTCTCATATACAGACTACATTAATTTGGCTTGTATTTAAGTAAATATACACAATTTATTAACATATATTTTTTTTTTTAATTTCTACAATAATTCTTGATGTATACTACTTCTTACGTATGTATGTATATGAATGCATTTCCAAATGAAAAAATAAATGTTTACGTACATAGTATATTACAAAAACACAAGCGAGCAAATATTTATAAAATAGTCTTTCATGTACATATGTATGTTTAGTGAACATTTGGCGTTTTTTTTACATGAAAATGTCTAGGAAGCTTACAGGTACGTCCTATATACATGCATATGTAAGTATGTTTATTATGCATACTCTTAAGTTGGCAATAGCCAGCCTTGATTTCGAGTTTTCGAGTTGATTGAGCATTCAAAATTTATAACAGTGCTTCTCGTTCTTAAAAGGAAAACATGAATAGCAGTGCTTCTTCTCGTCGCACATCACAACAATCACACATCGATCTCGATTAGTTTTTCTTCGTTGCTAAGATCGGAGAGCAGGGTTTCAGCCAATTCTTTGCGCGCTTTTTGTATCACCCACACCATGAGCCCCACCCCGCAGATGACCTGAAAGGAAAAGGAGGAAATCACAATATTAATAAAATAAAATTAAATGCATAAAAATTCAATAGTGAGGAAAAGTTTTTTTTTTTTATAAAATATTGCTATATTTTAAATTCACTGCTGAAGAGATCTATTCCATGAAAAAGAGTATAGCGTAAAATTTTAATCAAAACAAAGCGTTTTTTCCTATATAATTTTTTCCAAAAAAATATATGTACTATGTACTTTTGTATCAAATAGAATTCCTATTCCCCACTGCTTTTAGAATTAGCGACTGTTGTAGGTTGAGTTTGCGTAGCATATCCACAGGCGTGCCAAAGAAACACCCAATGCAGCAGTTGTGTATTCATATATGTATGTAACTGAAAAGCACGAGCTCTCAAACTGTTTTGCCTGCTGCTTTTGTATCGCTAATGGGTGCAAGAAAATCGCTAATTTGGGAAAGTGAAATTGTTCTAAGAAAATTGTTTTCCAGCGAAATATATTTGTTTCATATATTTTGCAATTTAAATGCTATTGCACTACCTTTACAGAGTATGAATGCATGTACAACTGGCTGCTGTCAGCGGGATAAACAGACATTAAACGCCTTTGATTTATGGCTTAACAAATAAATACTTGGCAGCTTTGCGAAAAAAAAAAAAATTAAAAATAAAAATCAGAAAGTAAACAATGTTGAGCCAGCTGTTTGTATGGGTTTATTTTCTTTTCGGCCAATAAATCTACAAAAGTCTGTTAATCTGCCTAGTGGGTGTGGAGGGCGCATGCAAATAAATTTGTACATACATACTATGTATGTTTGTTTATTTTTAGTTTTGGATTTAATGGTCTTTTGAGCTTAGCATTGAAATAGTTTGGGTAAAAAACTAAAATACATATGTACATATTTGGACAAATCTAAGAAATAGGTACACTTTACAAGAAAAATTTTAATTTTTAAATTTGTGAGCACATTTATGTTTTATATATCATTTTATTCGTAATCTCTTAATAAATCAAAAGGTGAAATTGTGAAATGTGTAGTTACAGACTTTAAGTTAATTGCCATTTCGTTATTTTTTGATGCACACTTTTCTTACCTACTCCATATAAAGTGTGCACATAGGTGTTTAATGCCCATTAAATTTCAAATCAGATTGTGGCTTGCTTCAATAGTTACATTATAAATAATTGTGCCCCTTTTAAAAATTACATCAAAAATTCACCCATTTTCATTATTTTTTTAATTTCAATAATTCGAAAGTTATGCAGCAAATTGATCCGCATTTTTTTTGAGGCTGCAAGTATACGTCAATGAATTATATCCAAAAGCAACCAGCTTTATATAGTTTACAACAGTGAAAATACCTAAAGCTAAATAACAAAAAAGTTACCAGTTTTTTACATTTGCCCATATACATACATGTATTGAAACCAAAATCCCTAAAAAATATTTAATTTTTTTCTACTGACTTACCTCCAGTCCGAAACTAATGTACCCCGACACCGCCGCTCCACCATGACTGCTAAGCACTTCCTGCATGGAACGCAGCGTCGACCCCAAGTACGCATTGATCATTTGCGCTGGCATCAGTCCTAATAGCGAGGCTGTGTGATAGACACGCGCATTAATGGCACTGACCTAAATGAAAATAAATATGTTTGTCGACATAGACAAGGGAGAATATATAATTATAAGATGGCAAAGACAAACGATAAAAAAAAAACGAATGAAAATGCCATTTTTATCAAAACCAAACAAAAAAATGTGTTAAAATGAGAAAAGATGTTTGCTGATGGTGGGGAAGACATGTGACAAGTAGAAAAAGGCCAACATGATTAACTTATATCCCAATAAACACACACACACACACGCACGGTACAATCAATTAGCCGTCTTCTCGTCGCACAGGCAATTAGTATGCAAATGTTGTTTACGACAAAGTAATAAAAATTCAAATTCTTTCCGATGTCGTAAAAGGCTTACTAGTCAAATGAATAAAAATAAGAAATTGAACTGAAATCAGAAATACATAATACATATCGTCGTTTAAAGTACAAAACCGCTTATCGTCATTTTGCAAAACCGCGTAACCGACATTGGCTGCCAAAAATTGGATTTGCTCACACAAGCACTTGGATCAATCCTTATCCATTCGTCCTGATATACATATATTAGCCAGAAATGCGATTGCTTTATAAAAAAAGAGAACCATTTTGAAATATAAGTGTTTTTACTCGTCTTGGTCTGCAGGCTGTATCGGAGATACAGACGCTAAATTTGAAGGTAAAGCGATAAAAATATCGATCGAAAATCGATAAAAACATCGATTAAAAAAATCTACGAAAATATCGATAACTAAAATCGAAAATCGATAACTAAATCGATTACAAAATCGATAAAAGCATCGATAAAAAATCGATGAAAATATCGATAACTAAAATCGAAAACCGATAACTAAATCGATTACAACATCTAGAAAAAAATCAATCACAAAATTAAATTATTACAAAGTCGATAACAAAATCGATAAAAATATCGATAACAAAAGCGATAAAAATATCGATAGCAAACTCGATAAACAAAAATCGTTAAAAAGCCTATCAAAATATTGTTGACTAAACCGATGAAAATATCGACAACAAAGTCGATTAATATATCGGTAATAAAATCGATAGTAAAAACAATAATAATATCGATAACAAAATCGATAGCGAAATTGATAACAAATGCGATAAAAAATAGATAAAACAACCGATAACAAAATCGATAAAAATATTGATCATTATATCGATAAGTTCCGAAAATATCGATAGCAAATTCAGTAACAATACCGATAACAAAATCGATAAAAATATCGAAACAAAGCAATATCGATAGCAAAATCGTTAACACAATCAATAAAAATATCGATAACAAAACCGATTAAAATATCGACAACAAAAATCTATAAAAATATCGATAACAAAATCGATAGCAAAATATATAAAAATATCGATAACAAAACCAATGAATATACCGACAACAAAATCGATAACGAAGTCGATAAAAAATATCGATAAAAGTATCGATCATTATATCGATAAGTTTCGAAAATATCGATAGCAAAATCAATAACAATATCGATAACAAAATAGATAAAAATATCGATAACAAAACCGACAAAATATTGATTACACTGGTCTACAAATTTCAACTTTTTTTCTGCGAATAAGACGGGACCTGGTGTTTCTGAACGGATTTTTCGTGCTGAACACGAATCCGGGGTCAAAAATGTCCCATCACGTCACGTTTTCGAGAAAAAAGAGGTTGAAACCCCTAAAAACAGCGTTTTTGGCCATTTTCGAAAAATTATAGAGCTGAACCCTGACGTGGTACAAATTTTGCATATATCAGAAATTAAAGGCTAAACCGTTCCCTTTCGAATGAGCCCTATGCCGAATTGATCGCGTGCACCCTTAAAGCAGGGGGTGTATTTGTGTTTAGGGGTGCAGGAAAAATTGATCACAGAAAGAATTTAATCTTAAACGATCATAGAAAATTAATAATGCCAAGGTTTTAACTATATTAAAAGTCGCTGATTACGAATCTGCAGTTAGATTTTAAAAATTTAAGATGACGGGTCGAATATGGTGGATATAAAAATTTCAAATTTAATAATGTTCAATAAATTATGGTACGTAGGATTTTGAATTTTTAAAATCTAACTTCAGATTCGTAATCAGCGACTCTTAATGTAGTTAAGACCTTAGCATCATTCATTTTATATGGTCGTTTAAGATGAAATTCTTTCTGCGATCAATTTTCCCTGGACTCCTAGACACAAATACACCCCCTGATCTAAGGGTGCATGCGATTAATTCGGCATAGGGCTCATTCGAAAGGGCACGATTTAGCCTTTAATTTCTGATATATGCAAAATTTGTACCACGTCAGGGTTCAGCTCTATAATTTTTCGAAAATGGCCAAAAACGCTGTTTTTAGGGGTTTCAACCCCTTTTTTCTCGAAAACGTGACGTGATGGGAAGTTTTGGACCCCAGATTCGTGTTCAGCACGAAAAATCCGTTCGGAAACACCAGGTCCCGTCTTATTCGCAAAACCCTTGTAGACCAGTGTTATTATATCGATGAGTCCCGAGAATCCCGAAAATCTCTAAAGTCTCTGTAAAAAGTAATCATTAGACCTAATGTGCAAAGGTCAAACAATTATAGCCGATCCACTTTTTGCCAAGTTTCAACGTATGTATTACTTTTGTTGTTATTGAACTTTTGTTATTTTTTTGTATAAAAAATTTTGTTAATTCTTTAACAAAACCCGCGTAAATCCATGTTTCCAAATTTGTGCAATATTAAAAGAAAAATTCAACAAATTTTCATGCAAATTTCGAACTTTTTAAAAATTCTAAAAAATCAATCGAAATTTTTAGCCATTTAAAACTTGTACTATATTCTACTAGAATTCAATGCGCCACAAAACTGCATACTCAGAATTTAATTATAAAACTCGAAATTTTAACGAAAATTTTTTGATTTTATTTTTTTTTTAATTGCATAATTTTTTAAGTTAGTGTCACTCGATTGGTACATTTGTACAGATTTGATCATTTTCATATTGGGTTATTGGTAAAAAAAATGGAACAATTTTTTTTTTGTAGTCAAAAGATTGGTACAATACAGCGATGTTCTATTGAAAAATTTCAACATTGATTTTCGTGATTGGGATAAAGAAAAATATTTTGGGTGTTCATAATTCTTCAATGGAATGCAAGTAATTACATTTTTGGAGGTATTTTCAAATCGGTCTAGCTCACGTAATGTTAATATTTTTCTGAAATATTTTGGGCGAAAGTCTTAAAATATAATAAAATGTATAATTACGGTGGAAAACCGCAACTTTTTTTAGTGATGCACCCTAATGTACAGACATACTTACATATATCACGTACATATTGCACACGCTTCCTTACAAATTTTATTTTAACAATAAAATCACAACTTGTGCGAGAAAGGTTGTGCGGGTCTTTTGCGCCTGCTTAAAAATATATATCGATTTTTTAAGTTGTTATCGGCTTATAAAGTAACCGCTTGCCACATTGGATGTGAACGTTAAATTGCATACATAAATTTTATAATATGAAGTAGTCTTACTAGTCGTGTAGTAGAATTCGTTAAGTAATAAACACACAACGCAAACACGAACCAGAATTGGCAAACTTCATTTTTTTAATTGCTTGTGCATTTAAGCGCAGCTATTAATTTTTTTATTTTTTTCTTAGCAATTTTAGGCATAGCAACAATCCAAAGTTTCACACAGGTAAAACGAGTTTCAACAACTCACATCAAATATTCGTACTACACACATACATACATACGTATCGCATTCGTTTTAGATTACTAACGGTTTGCGTATCTAACTGCAATTTAATTGTAGTAAATATTGTACTTGTCATTTAATGTAATAATCGTTAGTTCAGTAACAATTTATGACATGTGTACATACTAATTATATTTGTACGACAATCAGATGACTATTGCGAATGAAGTGTAGCTAAATTGTCTGTATTGTACTGCAAGTAGTAATTGATATCGTTTAGAAATTTCGTTAATATTTAAATACGTATTTGAGTAGATAAGGTAGACATGTCATAATAACTGGTTTAAATTGTCGTCTGCAAGGATATTGGGGCGGACCTAAATCTATGTTCTGCTTTAATTCGAGTAATTTAAATTTTTTCTTTACATGCATACCCTAAACTACATACATACATACGTATGTATATATGTAAACTAATGGTTCCTTGCAAAATGTTTCGTTAAGTCTGCGCTTTAAACGTGAAATAAGTTAGTAACAATGTCTAACATCAGAAAAGAAATGTCGTTAAACAGTGGGCTAAATAGCTTATTTTTAGATTAAAAATACATATACTTAATCCACAAAATGGTGTTTTACTTTTACAATTTTACAATACCCGGTAACTCATATCTGCATTGGCATATTTTAAAAGTAATTAAAAAAAATTAGAAAATTAAAAATTGCAGAACTTTTACGAGGAAAGTTTTACTACTAGTCTTTGAACGTCAAACAATTTTTCGTGTTAAAAGCATAAATCATACCACTGTTGAACTTAAATGATAAAAATAATAGTACTAATCAATACACATAAATACATAGTCCAGCTTTTGTTCTTAAACAGGGTGCATTCCAAAACGTCAAAATTCAAAGCATCAGTCTATTTTATTTCTAAACATCAGCAGACTGTATTGCCAAATGTGCGCAACCGTGCTTAGAAGCTAGCTTTCAACTATGTACATAGTAATAGTTTAAATTTTTTGAATTTCGAATTGTGTCGTTTTTGCAGAGGATCATCGATGTGCAAATATCAGGATGGGAATTACACAAAATTACAGATGTTGGATAAGCAGAACAGATTCCCAACTACCAAGGAGCATTTAAATGTTGGTGGGATGAGTTAAAAACGGAAATAAAAGTATGTATAAATATGAATATGAATGAATGAGTTTGTATGTATGAAGGGGATGCATTTTTAAATGGATAAAAATAAAAACATATTTACTCACAACTTACCGCAAATATTGTGTTTTGCAAGCCAAATGGAATGGGCGTTAAGCGTGTGAATAACACTACTTTGAATGCTTTAGGCCCCGATATAACGCGCAATATAGATCGACCAGTCTCGTTTTTAATAAGTCTGAAATTGAAAAAGAAATATACATATAATTAAAATTAGTATGTGTGTTAAAACAATAACTACATGTATTGGGATATATGCAGATATATCTGTGGCATTTTGGTAAAACAACTTATCTCGAGTTAGACAATTTTATATTTAAATCAACATTTCATTGGGTTCCCAAACAATATTTTAACAATTAGCTAGCCATAGGTGTAGTTTAAGATGCCCTCTTAATAGAAATTTCATAAAAATTTTAAATTTTTGGAGGGAAACTTATTCCATTTCAATCCAACTTCAAACCTCCTAGTCACTTAAGTTGTTTTAATAAAATTCCACAGATATACATGCATATGTATATTTTAATTTTTGAATCACAAAACTTGTATAAACAAACAATAGCTAAAAATATCAAATTAAACAAACAATAAAAATAAAAAAGAGGCTATTTTGGCGAAAAAAAAGAAACCGCTAGCACACATTTGCTTATTCTAGTTTTATTTCACCTTTCGTGCTTTTTATTATGAATTTCAGGCAAGATACGCCCCAATACGTGTCAGTTTGTAAACATTATTAAGAAAAAAGCTGAATAATTTAAAAGAAAATGGTCTGTAAGGAAACGAGTAATGTCTGCATCCAAACAAATCTACGTATCCACATACATATATATGTATATGCCTACTTGTAAATAAGTATGTATGTATATACTTGCGTAACCTGAATGAAGGTCACAGACAATACTTAAATTTTATTAGCTGCTTGGGGGTGAAATATGTGTACATACATATGTTGAACGTATGGTGCGCAGATATCAATGATTTTATAATTTTTTGGAAATTTTTTTCTGCGTTAACAAATCCGGTGGATTTTGCATGTTTTTTTTAAAGCACTTATTTTTGAAAATTATTTTTATGTCAAGGAGTAAGAGTGGGTTAATGCCAGTATTTTTCCGTGAAAGGAAATAACATTAGCAATCAAAACCATTTGGTTTCATATCAAAATATTGCTTCTGTCGAAAGCGCTACGATTAATTCCCATGAAGTGTTTAAAAAGCACACTGTGTGCCGGTACTTGGGAAGTCGTAGACCTTAGCTCAAGTGTATTCAAACAATATGAAAGACACATACACATTAGAGGTATTCTCTGAGTCTTGCAAAGGCCTTGCATGGTGCACATATTGCACGGATTGCACGGTAAAAACCGGTTTTCGTATGGGACAGCTTTGCAAACCGTGCAATCCGTGCACCGTGCAAGGGCTTTGCAAGACTCAGAGAATACCCCTATTGATTTTTAATTGATTGCACAAAGAAGATAAATGAAAGCAAGAAAGTACTTACATGAACATTTTTATTGAAGAGACCATTGGAAAAGGATTGGCTCTGATTGTTCGTGGATAAGATATGGAACACACCGGTTGCCTACAAATTGAGTCAAATTAGGAATAAATGCAGAAAAAAGCGGTCTGCGTGTTTCCAGCAATTAGAAGACTACGACACTCAGTCTCTGGAGATGGATAGGTTGTGCTATCTTCAGTTTCGCTTTTCATGCTGTTTTTGCGTCTTTATTTAAATTCGTTTTCTTTGTTCCAACTAATAAAAATTACGAAATCAAGAGATACACTATATAAAAGTAGTTGGGTCAATACATCTTAAGGCTAACAAGGTAATTATCAATCCTGAAAGGTAACTCTTTCTTTCTAACTGATCGTTTGAGCAAACAGTTAAAAAGTATTTAGCACCTTTATTACGTACTAATGAAGCACATAAACTAAAATATATGTATGTATATGTATAAGCATTTCGGTCACATTTTACATTAAAAAAAATTTTGTTCACTATTTTGCCAAGCCTTAACTTTCCACGATATCTAAACAACGACGGCTTTAGGTGCTAAGTTCATAAATAATAGATCGCGTGCCTTTTTAGAATTTTACACAAATGCTGTTAAGTCTAGTGTTAAGTGTTCACAAACATGTCATTGTGATTAAGTGAAAGGAATATAGAGATAAGCATAGCAAACCTGAGTAAGCTATGACTAAAAATAATAAAAGTATATGTATGTATATATATTTTTCAACGGAACGTGCGAAAAACGGTAGCAGCTTCTATAATGGATGAACTAATGGGTTTATCAACTGAAGTGTCTGTATGAATTGTTGAAGGACATATAATTAAGCTGACCAACCGTCCTCCTTTGAGGAGGATTGTAATACTCAAACGTGATTTGTCCTCCTCAAAAATATGGCCCTTCGCTGTCCTTCTTTTGAGCAAAAATATCCTCCTTGTTCTCCTTTTCCAGCTCAAAAAATTTCGTTCAGAATATTAATATTTTCTAATCGCACACAATCGTTGTATTTAAAAGGAGTTTACATTGTTCAGCTTTCAGTTATATGATGTAAACTTTTGATTCAACTAACCGCCTATAAAAGTTGAAGAATGTACTCGCCTTTTAGCCTTAATCAATAATACGGCTTTCCCACGCCACCCAAAGAACGTAGTTCGCTCTCACATTCGTAATTCGCACACCAATTACCCTTCTAATTACGTAATTCGCCATATTAAATTTTGAGGACGAATTACCTCAATTATTTTTTATCGGAAATTTATGGGAACCAGTTCACAAATCAAAACTGCCACTTTTCCTGAGTACGAAAAGTAAAGTTGATACATGTGTACATTACCAATTTAATATGGAAATTTATAAATTATTAAACAATTACTTACATTTTGGATGAATTTTGTAACGAAGAAAAAAAACACAGATATAGAGAACTGTCAAATCGAATTAAGAATGCGCCCGTGGGAAAGGGGTGATTCGCGAACGTAGTTGCAGGAGCAAACAAAGTAATTCACGTTGCCGTAGGAAAGCAATATTACCCTTCAGAACACTGAAAGACTATCTAACGACGCGTCTTCACAGGCGAAAATTATTGCCTACCATATGTCATTTTGTTTGCCAGATATGTATAAGTTTTATCAGTGGCAATATTTGTGTGTGGAAATTTTTCATCTTGATAAAAGCATTTATAAGATGGCTTAAAGCAAGAATGTTCGTTGAATTGGGGCGCAACAATGCTTGAACAATTTTTAAAAATGTGTTATTTCACATCCAAGTACATAATCCAAAATAGCACAGGCCCAGCGGCGGATCCAGACTTTTTTTGGGGGGTGTTTTGCGGGAAATTCGCCACTTGTATTACATATATATATATAACTAACCTAGCGAATTTATTGCCTTAAAATGACCTATTTGCTGAGAAGGAAATACTCGCAAAAAATTTGTATTTCAATTTTAATAGGTGTCGGTGGGCATTTGAAATCTTCTATGTAAATAACATGTAAAAAAATTTGTTTTCATTACAAATTTTATAACTTTTGAACCATAAAAGGGACAAAAGTTTTTTCTGGATATATTTTTGTAGGGCATTAAATTCTCTAAAAAATTAACCTAAAGTTCGTTGTCTTAAAGACGATTAAGAGTATTAAATATGTTAATGAAATTGCTGAACAAGGTATAGCGTTGATACAAAATTAAAATCGAACTTTGACGAAAGACTAAGAACAAAAGCAATTTCTTTTGCAAGTTATACGATTAGAATTAAATAATTTATAAAAAATAGTCAAAACTTACGCGGTCTTATAATTATGCAACGCAGTGTACTATTAACTTGTTTGACTTGTGTTTAACGAAGCTTTGAATTGTAAACTTATTCGTTATTTATATGTTCAAATAAATAGATTAAAAATTTTTTGTGTTTTCAATATCGAGAATTTGTCCTCCAGGAATGTTAAAATATTCTGGTCACCTTACATATCTGTGTTCGTATGGAACAGTAGCTTATGTCGAAAGGCTGCCTTTAGTATAATGCGGCATTTGCAGCACACGATTGCGAATGGGTCACTGGCGCCGAGCCGTTGAAAAACTTTTGGCAAATAAACGTGCATTAATAGTTCCGATACTAGCAAGTCAATATTCTTATTAAGTCTCATCAAATAATTGTTTGTCGTTTAAAGAATGAAGGGAATGCCGCATTATACTAAAGCCAGCTTGCCGACATAAGCTACTATTCCATACGAACATAGATATAATTAGTTTGAGAATTTAAAATATAAAGCCATAAATTGAAGCTTTAGTTAGCAGAAATATGTACATACATACATATATCGTCGTTTAAAGTACAAAACCGCGTATCACGCTAATACAAACCAGCGTATCTGAGGTTGCATAAATTATTTTCTAGAGAGTAAAAACAGTCATTTCAAAATGATTTTTTTTTTTATAAAGCAATCGCAGTTCTGGCTAATATATTTCAGGACGAATGAATAAGGATTGAGCCAAGAGCTTGTGTGAGCAAACCAAATTTTTGGCTGCAAATGTCAGTTACGCGATTTTGCAGAATGACGATCTGTACTTGCATATAAAAACCTAGGGAAATTTAAGCAGAGCTGTTCCTTTTTTTTAGAAGGGAACACCTACAGTTATATGCTACGAACAATAGTTTATTGGAAACAGCTTATTCACGGAATGGGCTTGTTTCAAACGGCTATCAGAACCAAGCTATCAGTCAGAATAGCGCTCTTTGACAAACAAAATTATTGATTAAAGTTTGGCTACGCCGTTTATTGTTCTTTTCGGTGAAATGCTTGTATTGCCTGAATGTATTCCATTAACAAACTAGGATGGTCTAGGTACTGCTTAAAACAAAAGCAATCGCACGAAATTTCCATTGAGGATATACGCTAGGAGTGTTCAACATGATTCATTCAGTGGCTATCGAGATGATAACAAAGTGCTGACAATATTGCATTCACTATGATAATAGATAAACCTAAAATGCTAGTGGTGGGCAGAGAGTAGTTTGAGAATTTTAGAAAGTCGTTTTTATTCTTATCAAGTTTACAACAGAATAATAAAAAATTTGACTGACAAGAAACCCAGCAACAACTACTGTGCGCTTAAAAATGAGCCTAGTAGGCTATGTATCAGTAGAACCGCTTTATCAAACGTAGAGCAGTTGATACCAGGAAGCTAATTCTTAAATGAAAAATATTGGTTAAATAAATCTATATATATGTTTATAAATGAAGACATACGAGCACCATAAAGGGAAGCCGCTGCTGATAATAAAATGAAACGTAGGCGTATTACCTGCCTGGGTATAAAGAGCTTCAAAGTTAATTTATTACAAATAATACCCATTTAGAAGAGCTTAGATTGCAAGTAATGATATTTTAATAAATCGTTTTTATGGAATGCCTTAAATTCTGGCTACCATCAGTTGCCAAATAGAATACACGTTCTATGAAGTAGCTGGTTTGATACATTCTACCTTGATAAACTGTGTATTTGTTTTGTTATGTGAACGGTCACGAAAGCATAATCGGCTGCAGTATGCGATATAACAGAGGTTACTGAACTATTTTGACTTTACATAATTTTACACTCGAGTCCGACCGATTTATCAGGTAATGCTGGGGCTAGTATAAGCCAAAAGAGTCGGAATCGGCCGTTTTTGGCCGATTCTTGAATGAGGTATTGTTATAAACATAAAAAGCATTTGTTCTTGAAATGAATTTAATTCAGGATTTAATCGGCCGATTCTTTGCCTGAATATAATTTCATTTTAAGAACAAATGCTTTTATAAATGTGTACAATAACAAAAGAAAAACATAATGAAATAACTAAATAACAATACCTCATTCAAGAATCGGGAAAAAAACGGTCGATTCCGATTCTTTTGGCCGATACTAGTCTCGCCATCGGCCGATTCATCGATCGGACTCTATTATACATATTTATTAAATGCACCGATGACTAGTTCAAACAAGAGCTTATTGAGCGAGGTATGCAATCACTTCGTTTGTAACTAGGTCACTAGTTAATTCAAGCACTTGACCTGCAGTGAGTAACAAAATAAATTAGAATAGTCTAAATAGAATAATTGATAATTTCTACAATAAGGAAGTTCTATGCATATTATATCATCCATTCGCTAGCACAATAGGGGCGGTCAATTTCAATTGTGCACATGATGGGTGTTTGTGTAAGAATTGACCATCAGGTACACATGTCTTTATGCGTTTGTCAGTATGTATGAGAGTGAACGTTATTTATTTCATTTAATTTCTTGTTGATTGCAATTGATAGACAGACATAACAATAAAACTGTTCGGTAGACAAATGATTATGGTAAACAACTTTCGTGCGTTAATCGGTGCATAGTAAAAAGGGAGGCGAGGGTAGTTGCGACACTTATTGCACATGAAACAAGTTACAAGTTGCCTACATGAAAATGGAGCGGTATACCGCATGTATAGCGCGACATTTGTGCATCGTAAATATGTCTGAGAAAAAAATGGTTTCCAGCAGTATATTGCAGGAGGTGATTTTACAAAGTGTTTAAAGTTAAGAAGGACAAAAAATGTCTTGCTTTAGTGGAATAAGACCAGAGTCGCAGGTGGCTCTAACCCTCTGCAAATATATTCTACCGTCTGGTGTTATACGACATTCCAAAACTCTTTACAAAGAAGATAGGAGGTACGTTTGGTTCAACAATATCGGTCATCTATTCCTCCGTTAGTTTCTATTATTATTATTATTTTTTTTTTTGTGTTTCCGACAGGGAAGGGGCGTGATGTATTATGAAACGATTTTTCGTCATCCCTAGTCAAATTTGGTTTGGAGACAGACCAATTTCGGCGTTGTGCCATCTTCAGTATCGTTCTCGAACAAAAAATTACACTAAAGATGGCACAACTTTCGAAACTGGTTTGTCTCCCAACGAAATTTAACAAGGGTTGACGGAAAATCCTTCCACAATACATCTTAGCTTTTATTTCATTATTGCTGGGAAATATTGCTAATAAGACAGCCCTTATCGGTGTATTAACTCGAATCGTTACCTCCATCGATGAATAGCACGTTGCGAATCCTTTACAGCTGCATACTTTCAGTAGATTTTTTCTTTTTAATTCATTTATTCTTAGCCGCTGAAATACCTATGTATACACGTAGACCACTAATTACGCGAACTAATAAACTATTTAATAACTTACATCGATACATGCTTGTATGGATATATATGTTCAGACAAAAAAACCAATACATGTATTATTAATTATTTTTTTAGTAATAAAGGCGTTAAAATTCCTTGTTGGGATGTTGCCGATATAAACCAAGAAATGGTTATGATTAAAGGCCACGTTAGCAGTAAAGGCAACCATCTACCACATCACGCATGCCAGGGCTTAGCTGACATGATACCATGTTCATTTGATCTTTTAGATAAATTATATACTTCCATAAAGAGCTATTACAATATTATGTATTTACAACATATTTAAGGACATGCTTAAGTACATATGTATGGGCAAGAGCGATAACGTCGCTGCATGGTTAAAGGGCTATAGAAAACTTATTATAGTAGATAAGTAAATGAATTAACTGTTGGCTATTAATACTCACTTATGAATTGGTATACGATGGCGAAAACTCCGTATTGTCCAATGAGCGACGGCGACCCCTACATTCGCACCAACCACGACAATGAGTACGCCTCTCAAAGCGCCGAACAAGTAGCCAGAAGTGAGCATTAGCAAGAAATATCCCACCACTATAGGAAAGCTAACTACCACAAATAAAGCTATCAGTATAGCCACTATAATCCATGGATTTTGCATTTCGATCCACAGTAAAAATTGCTTTGTATAGTCGCGCGTTAGATAAGCGAAAAACATAAACGCAGTAATAGCAACCAGCAACAAAGCTAGCCCAAATAAACATTTACGGTTGTGACTTAAGCGATTGCAAGCCGTATTGCGCGCTTTGATCGCGCCACGTGTATTACGCCGTAACCTGGATGCATTTCCATTGCTACCACCGATACCGGCACTGCCAACAGCATTAGTTGCTGACGGCATAAGTAGATCATGTTCATCATCAAAATCAACGACGCCATCATCATCGTAGTTGTTGAGCGTGTTGGATACTAGATCATTGTTGGATGACGCAGCCGCGTAAAGTGCGCTTCTGTAAGTGCTACTCGTTATCCCATCGTCCGTAAGGCTGGTGGCGATGCGGCCATTCAGGCTATCCTGCCTGAGCACAGTCGCTTTAGGACGCATGATACCGCTGTAGCTGTTACTTTTATGGAACGAGTTTAGTGGAAATGAGATAGCGCCTATTCGGGAAGTGTTTTCCAGCAGTATACTGTGTTCATCGAAGAAAAGTGCAGACGCACGAGTTGGCGTGCTATTAGTTGTGTCGGGGTCCTCGACGCGGCTTAGATCTGTAGCTTTCTCTTCTTCTATACCATGACTTTCGTTCTCGCCGTCAATTCGTGACCGCATTGCGTCTGCCTTGTGTTTGGCTACTTGGGGGAAGTAGTAGTATGTCGGCTTATTATTGTTGTTGTTTTGATAGAATGACCACTGCAGCCGATCGCTTGATGGAACTGAGTTGCGATTCACGGTCGCATTCATTTTACTCGATTATTAACTTCAATGCGAGGAGTGCATTCGATGTTGAGGACTTGATACTTCGTTGAGTAAATACATATGTATGTAAGTACATACTTATGTACATAAAGTGAAACAAAATTTCGTAAGTGCGTTGGATTGCATTCCATAAATTTCGCGGCTATTTAATATGAAATGCCTACTATCAATTGGTGTTATTTATAGAACGAAATCATGTCAATTTTTATATTGCACTCAATTTTTGCGCAAAGTTGTCAAAAACAAACACTTGCATGTATGCATATGTAAAACACATTCGCAGACTTCGCTGGCGTATACACACTCGCTTTGAAATACAAGTTTGTTGATGAGCACAATTCACTTCAGCGCCGCGCCTGCCGTGGCCTATTCATTTGTACTGCACGAGACGGCCCTGACGTTGCTTTTATATTTGATGACTTTTGTTTTGCTCTTCACGGCAGTCTTTATTTCGCTTGTTTTCTTTTGTCACAATTCGTGCACAACAATAGAAGCAAGTTCAAAAAAAATTTAAAAATTCACTTTCTTTTCACTGAGCAGCAGCAGCTATATGCTTATTGTTGAATCATGCGAATATCTTAAATAGGTATATATATCTCTAGGTTAGAGTGAAAAGTTTCTAAGTCCCAATTTAAAAATTTTACAGGAGAGGAAAAAAACTTCGTATAGATATTTTCTTCAAGTATTTCGCGAAACTTTGAATACAACAATTTGCCTGTTTAAATTAAAGCAAAACTCTATACGAATCAGAGGGATTCTACTATTTTGGCTTTATCGAATTTTGGGAGCTTCTTTTGGGCTTAGCAAATATGCTATTCATTGATTATAAAAGAGAAAACAGAACAATGACCTTTTCCTTTTCGAAGCGATGTATTTTTAATTTTGGGAAATGTTTAGTCATTGGCCGACCGTTTTGGGGTTGGATGGCGGTTGGAGAGGAGGTGTGGCCTCTAAACCCCTTCCATTAGAAAGGGGACAGTCCCACTTTATAAAAAGCCGCCCTCCCCCTTCGGAACTACCCCCAAACCCCTAGGGAATCGTTTGAAAATGGGGGAAAACGGAATTTACCGAGGCAATCTGAGCAGTTTGATGGTAAATATAACCCAACTAACAGAAACCATGGGATTTTTGAATAAAAGGAATAATGTATCCCAAGTTGGTTATCGGGCGATTTTTGCAGAGAACACCTTTCTGTGTAGGAGACCTTCGGCCGGAATTAGGGATTACAATCCTCACTAAGTAGAATTCTCCATTCTGTGTTTCCGAAGAAGGGAGGCTGAACACCTTTTGAAGAGAACACCTGTCTGTGTAGGAGCCCTTCGGCCGCACTTAAGGATTATAATCCTCACTAAGAAGAATTCTCCTTTCTGTGTTGGCGAAGAAGGGGGACTGAACACCTTTTGCAGAGAACACTTTTCTGCGTAGGGATTATAACCCTCACCAAAGAATATAATCTATAAGAGGAGACAACACGTTATAATTGTAGCGAGTGTGAACATCAGGAGCGTGCCTTCTCTTTTCATCCAATTACGTGTTATCTCTTCTTATGGATTTACGGTCTTTGCCCTCACTGAGTAGAATTCAGAAACCGAAATGAAGTAATTCGTCAAAGTTTCGCGTACAAATTGAAATGCACCGTTATACTTAGAAATATAACCATACCTAACTCCTCAAAGAAGCCACGGCGACTATTACTACGTTTATACGCACGCATTATTTGCAAATAACAATTTGCAAATTGGTAACTTTGCCGTTTAAACGCCGATTTAATTTTTTTATTTGCAAATAACTGAATCACGCAAATAATTATTACTTAGTGGTACTATTTGCAAATAAGCGCAAGACGCCGCCATCTTAGGTTTATTTTCTTTTTCGATGGTCATCTTATTGCCTTTTTATAATCAAGACGTTGCCATTTTTAACTTTATTTTCCTTTTCGATGGTCATATTATTGCCTTTTTATAATCAGGTAATATTAAAAAAGAATTTTTCACCATCGAATAAACAGTGAGTTAGGTATTTGCGAATTATTTTTATTTGCAAATAGCTTGCGTATAAACGTAGTAAGTGAATACATATATTCCATAAAAAGGTTTATATTTTTAATGCTTACTAGGTTATATCTTATTTTCTTTTGTCTCTCATCCTTCTTGCTTATTTTGGAGTTTCACAGATGAACTCCGACATTTAATTTGCATAAGCAACCGAAAGGCACAAGCGTGATTTTCAAGGTGTTCGCTTTAATTGATTAAAATAAAAGGAATAACAAAAGTTATAACTAATATAATAAAGTGTAAATTGAAAGCGAATATAAAAATGTATTGATGATGTGGCTACTTTAAGGAGAATGGGAGTGATTAATGAATTTAACATAAAAGGGCATATTTAAATCCGAATTTTACAAATAAATTAGTGGCTTAAAATTATAAAAGTAGGTGTTAAAATAATGTGTACACCCTTGGAATTTTTTTTTGGATAGGGGGGACCCCTTTGGAGGGAATAGCCCGAAATACTTAGGCCTCCTACTAAAAGGTACTCTTAATTCCTCTAGCCTCCTGTATCAAGATATGAGTTCTCATAAAAAGTGGAATTATCAACTTTTCACTGTAAGCCAGCGGGATATGTATGTATTTACAAGACCAGAAAAGGCATTTTTTGCCAATTTAAGTGATGCCGCAGCGTTAGATTTTCTTGTATGCTACAATTCTTTCCTTAGCTGATTTTGTAATGTAGCAATTACCTCAAAGCGATTGCATGCAGAAATTGCACTGTTTACCAATATACACATACATATACATACATGCATCTGCACTCAAAACACAAACTCCCGTTGTTATTCACTTGCATTCACTTTTATGTATAAGCATACTTTCTGCGCTTTTCAACGAAAATTACACGCTTTTAAAAAATTAGCACATAGTTTGCATTACATATTTCTCCTGGCTGATCATCTTTAACCTTTTTACAATGCTCACGCAACGACAAAAACGACTGCAGCTGCCTGAAGGATGTGTAGATAAATTCCTCGCTAAAGTAATCTGCTCCCATGTAACAATCTAGTCTTGTTGTTGTTATAGCGGCTACAAACTATAGTCTTGATTAGCCCTTCTCTAAATAGTGCACGAATTTCTCGATTTATTGTTTATACATACATTCGTATGTTTTAGTTTAATTTGCATATGTAATTAAATTTTTTTTTCGACCACAATGTTATCACTTTTCCTAGCAATCCTAGATTTCAACCGTCATCACCACCTTTCCGCATTCGATTTATTCAAGCCACTAAATTGACTTTCGCTGTTTGTTGTTGCGCTTTTTTCGCGTTTCATTGGTGAACAGTGTTGCCATATTTTGTTTTCAAAAAAAGGAAGTTCTCTGGAAAAAACTGAATTTTCTACATTCCATTTCCTGAGTTCCACCGGAAAAAAATTCACTTTGAAGCTCTTCATCCGCGCGTATAAAATACATGGAAACCAAAAGTTAAAAGAACCGGTTTGGGGAAAAGGAAACTCATGAAAAGGCTGAATAACTGCAACATTCAAAACCGAGAGGATTTTTCGAATGTTAAGATTTTGTAACTCTATGATTGGAATACATCTGAAGCTCTACTCATAATTGCAACGCGATCTATGGTTAACCGCTGTCAAAATTAAATTGAAATTGAGTAACAGGCTAACCTAACATTCGCGGCTTGCGTTTTGGTACGCATGCCGTCGAATTTGTTTTTTTGCGTCACCCGAAATTGACTGACAAAAATTGGAAATTGAGTTAGCTTCATACGCGGCCGCTTTACCGCCGTTCGCTGTAATTCCGGGCAGAGCTTGACTCCTTTTTATTCATAAGAGGAAATGCTGCATCTCCATTGCCTCTTTTCCTCGTAAAAATTTACTTCCAAAAAAACCCCAAGACATACTGCCTAATCCTGAGTTTCGCCCAAAAAAATTCACCCGAAAATTTTTCATCCGCCTATAGTTAATACATAGAAACTAAAAGTGAAAAGCGAGCCGGTTTAGGGAAAATAAATGATGAGGCTGATATTTTAAATTATTCTTTCAAATCTGAAATTATCACAAACCTGCCTAAACACCATTTCACGAATTCAATTATACACGAAAGTTAATTTCGGCATCATTTCATGATCTCGTGAAGTGCTACTTACTAAGGTTATGTGGTGGCATAACCATGATTTAAAACACTGGAAATTATACGTAGATTTGTTTAAATATAAAATAAGTGCAAATAGAAGAATCTCAAATGCAATTAAGCCAGTTTGAATGTAACAGGACCATATCCTGGTACCAACGGCTTTTGCACATTCAAAAGGAGGGAAAAAATATCACAACCCTACTGTTTAGTTTCTCGCTAGCACGCTGCCACTTTTTTAAAACACTTGATTCCGGAACCATTTTTAAATTCATGAAAAGAAGAATTCATAAAGTTTGCCTCATAAACATAGTAGTGGTATTCATCTAAACCGATAACTTTATCAAGCAGATAATCTTATAAGTTTATGCACTCTGTTACATGAACGACCCACACTCTCTTTTCGTTTACACATGCGACAATAGTCGTGTTTTCTTTGGTTATAAAGCGCAGTGTCACTAACTTTATACTACTAGCACGGGGATAAAGAAATTATAGAAACTACCTCACTAAATTGGAAAAATTATATTTACGAGATATCTATTTAAATAAATGTACATATAACATAAAGGCTATTTATTTGAAGCAAGTTATAAGAAACAATGGCAGAATGTCTGTTTGTGTATGAATTCATTTGTCACGGCTACCAAACTTTGCGAATTATCAGTGAAACAAAACAAACAGACGGGATAATAAATGAACCAGATCTCTATCAGGATCATATCGTTGTTGAATTTGCGTGCAAAATTTGTATGCGGATCCCGATTATTGCCTAAGAAAACATATCTAGAGTTGCGACAGAGTTGCATTGTCTTCAGTTTATCAAGTTTATTCAGTGAAATCGCTGGATAAATTTATCAGAAATGTGTAAACGAGTTTCCATACAAATTTTGACAGTTCATTTATAAGGTTTACACAATTATAAGTTTATACGGTTTACAATGCATTTATAAGGTTTGATGAATACCCTTAGTATATCTCTCTACCATGATTTGAAACAAGAGGTAATCGGGAAAATTTTATGTCTATGTAAAGGTGAAATGGCAACACTGGTGTGAAATAAAATAAAACATCTGTTTTGGTTGTGTTCACTGCAGAGTGTAGATGCTTTTCAGTTGATGTAGGGGGATAACGAACGGTTTGACTTTGACCATTTTTAAGCTGATGCCAGGTAAAACTTTGCGGTGATACTTTGTTTGAACCGCAAGAACAAATATACCAATTGAATTGTAGAATGTAACTAATTTTTTAATAAGTACCTGTAAATAGTATACAGTACACAATACTCATATCTGTAATAAGAAAATTTTGAGTAATTTGTTCGGATTTTGAGGAGTTTTCATTTGTTTTTGAGGAATTTGGTAAATTTTTGTGGCAACACTGAGCAGAGTAGCCAACTCATTTTTGAGAATTCCCCGATTTTGCACAAAATATCGTCAAATTTCCCACCCATAGATATCTCCTTACTTACAAAAAAAAATAAAAACCAAGCTTTTATTAAGGTAGTTAACAAATAAAGAATAAAAAATATTTATGTAGAAAATATTTCATACATAGTGGTCGAAAAAACTTTCTCTCAACAATTATTATTATTTTTTGTTATTTAATTTGAGTTATTTTTTTTTATAAAAATATAGTTATACCTTATTAAAAACCGTATAAATCCAAGTTTCAGACTTAGTGCAATATTAAAAAAAAATCAACAAACTTTCGTAAAAATTTCGAGCTTTTTAATTGGAGTTTCTATAAATATTTTGAGTATGTAGTTTTGTAGCCCATTCAATTCTAGAATATTAAAGTGCAAGTTTCAAATGGCTAAAAATTTCCGTTTTTGGATTTTTTACTAAGTTTTTGCGTTGTTTTATCTATATAAAAATAAATTATGTTCATTCGCTATATGAAAGCAAATGCAATGAAAATTCTAAAAAATCAACGGTAATTTTTAGCCATTTGAAACTTTGTTATAACATAACAGTATGTTGGTTAAACGGCACTGTCACACGGTCAGTATTTATTGACGTGATCCAAGTATCGCGATATTTATTGACGGTGTAGCATGCAGTATTGATCTGATCGTGATCCATATCGCAAAATTTCTAAACATTTTGAAATCCGGATCGCGGATCTCAATATTGTCAATAAATATGGAGCGTCTCGCACTTTCAAAACGCGATCCATACATTTCGTCAGTACATCTTGTACTCTCATAATGCGAACATCGAAAACGTATTCGCTATGCTCTCGTTCTCGTTGCTTAAAACTTTTCAAAACAAACTGAACAAATTTTAATTAACATGGGAAATTAGGAAATAATTGCGGAATGCATTATCTGCAAATTATTCATACAAAATAAAAACATTTTCTTGCATCATAATAAGCGTTCAGCACAAAAATTATGCAAATACTGACGTGATAAATATTGAGCATGTAGCATTCGTGCGCGATCCATCAATCCATCAATATGGATAGCGATCCAAATATCGTGATAATTACTGACCGTGTGACAGGGCCCAAAGAGATTAATGAGAGAAAAAGCGCCGTGACCAGGGATCATATGATCGTTTGCGTAACACCGGTCTAAGAAATTTTCTTGTGTAAAATTTTCTTAAGGCAGTACGCAGTTCTTAAGAAATTTACTAAGCTTTCTACTACGGGTTTCTAAAGTTTATTATGAAAAAAGAGCTCAAGGCAACCCATGTTTGTAACAGAAATATATGCCCGTTACAAGGCGTATTTAACAAGGTGGTGTTTGCCGTATATAAGTAAAAAATTATGCTAAAAAAAGTAAAAGTAAGTAAAAAAAGATATCCACACTGTCATTGGTATGAGTTACAACAAACACATCATTTTGACGTAATGCAACACCACCTTGTTAAATACACCTTGGCCCGTTCACTTATTTCTTGAGGAAAGCTAAAATTAGTCAAGAACGTAAACTTACCGGTACGTAAACCCGAGTCTGCCTTACCAGGGTGCCATGTTAATCAAAACAACCCAAAATTTTTCTGTGGCGCAGATTTCTTTCTTATATAGAATGTCGCTACTTCGTCAATTTTGTAGATGGTAAACAAGTTATAAGTTCCTATTCAAAATAAGTTTAAAAAATAGTTAGTTTATGTTTAATAGCATCTATTGTAGCACGAAAAATTGTAGTTGAAAAGGTAAGTTTATGAAATTGATGAGTGACAACACTGTAGTAAGCAACACAGAGGGCTCCAGTAATCGACAAAATTCTGCGTATACAGACAGCACTTAAGTATAAGTTCTGCGTTCTTGACTAATTTCACCTTTAACAATTTTATGTTCACTTAAATATCGTAAAATTAAGGGCGATGGAATCAGTTAAAATAAAGGTATTTAGCGAAAGAAGCAACACTGTTTCCGCTTATCTATTGAACAGCTGATTTTTCTTCTTTACGATTTCACCTCTTTCGTAATTATTATTGTTACTATTGTGATTTGTAATTTTTAGCGAAAAATGATGAAATTTAATTTTTTGCAATTGGTTAGTCAATCCATACGAAATGTTGCTAAGCCACAATTGTATTTGGCAACAATTTCAACAACCTCCGCATTCAAAACAGAAGCACAGGTTGACGTGGTGTTACAGCAATCAACCGGCAAAACGGGGTTTCCAAGTTACACATTGGAGCAGCAAAGGAAAATTTTGGCCATTGTGAATAATGATAATCAAGAGATTTTAAAGTAAACTATTATATATAATTCCAAATAAATAATTAGTTAAACTTGCCGATTTCAGTTATGACATTGCTAAAACACGTGCCGCCAAATTGACTACATGGAAAAAACGCCATGGACCTCTGAAGAATATAGAAGACATACTTTTGATTGAAGGTTTTGGAACGAAGATTGTGGAAAAATTCTATAGAAGTATGCTTGAGGGTAAATGTGACGAGAGTGGAGGTTAGTAAACACTTCTTATATTCTGTCCCAATAGGTTTACTTCTAAAACTTATAAACTAAATAGCCTCACGCTCAGCGCGGCAACGTACCGCAGGCTTCATCACACCAGTAATTGATGCTGAACATCGTTCAGAAATACGTTCCTGTGTTTCAATACGTATCGGAGTGTCCAGTGTAACATGGGCACGTTTAGAACTGCCTACAACAGAATGCTCAAATGAACCTTGTAACTTGACGCATTGGGAGCATCATGAAATAACAGAGAAAAAACTGCATTTGTGTGATTTGGTACAACGACTGTTGTATATTGATTACCTTATACCGAAAGCCGATTGCTATATTTTCGAAAATCCGCAAATGGCACAGGTCAGTAGTAATCCGGGTAGCGTGGATCAGCAAAACATCAGCATACAAAAGTCTCAAGTATCGGCTATTATGGCGTATACATTATGCGCACGTGGGAAACTTGTCGAAGCTATAAAAAGTGGAAAGGAAAATATTGGCGAAAATGAAAAGAAGTCTGTCGATATGAGACCGAACGTTTTCTACTTACGTCGCTTCCTCACTGCCCGTCTGTTCAGTCAACTAATTGGTACGGAACGTGTTTCTTCTGAAGAAACTATTTTACATATGATGCGCACACATTACAATGCACACGATTTGTTCGAGGATGAGGTAAAAGAAGGGCTTGCCAAAGACCAATCATTACCTCTTCAAGGCAATGTATACTTTCCTGTAGCGCTTCGGGAAATGTTTTCGCGCTCAGGACGCTATCAACGTGAGTTTCTAGGCCAATCGCTTTTACTGAATTTGGCTTTTGTGCGTTTGGTATTGCTTCAAGATAAGAATAGTATTGCAGCTGTGACACGTAATCAAAATTAATTACAAATTGGAAGAATAAGCTGTTGTGGTGTCAAGTAAAGCTTGAAGTTGTTCCATGCCTTAAAGTGCTGTAGAATTTAATTTAAACGACTGTATTAAAAAAAAAATAAATTGTTAAAAGCAACTAATATATTAAACCAAGTAAAACTATTTTAGTTTACCTTTTCACTCTTTGTTACTTGCCAAAGTAGTGCAAACCTTGCAAAAGATCCAATAATTTGCGCAGTACTGCCAGTTTATTACAACATGTTTGCTTAAAAGAACACGGAACAAAGTTCCACTAGCCCTAGCCACGCTGTTAGCTTCCGATTTGACAGCACTCAACAGCTGTCATTTTTCCAGTGCATTTCAAAAACAGTGTTGCCGCACCCAAACAAAATTTACCAAAATCGTAAAAAAAATTTACAAATCCCGTTAAAATTAAGCAGGGTTTGAAGTGCTGACTGCAAAATAGCGTAAGCAACACTTTTTTGCTTTTTAAATCAAGCAGCTCTTAATAATTTTAATGCATTTGCAATTGCTTAGATACGACTAACACTAATAAATCAGCAAAAGCAGACAGCAAAAGCGAAAAAAAAATGAAATCATTTGCTTTAGCTTATAGAGCTGTTTGTTTTTGCTTGCACAGTCAGCCGAAGCAACCAGTTTAGAAAAATTTGCTGTTGCTGCAAGTGTATTCTCATTTTTGCTTTTACGTTTTCAGACTCGATGAAAAGAGAAGGCCCGCTCCCGATGATCACACTCGCTACAATTGTAACGTGTTCTCTTCTTATAGATTTACGTTCTTTGGGCAGGGCAAAATTAATCAATTTTGTTTAAATCTAAGCGAAACGGCAACGCTGTTCCCAAAAGTCACAAACGTGGAAGTTTGGAAATTCATGTCTTTTTCACATCGAGAAAAACACGTCAAAATTTCATCAAGGAAGTAAATTGTAAAAAATATTTCGAAACGCGTGCCACGACGTTAAAGCAATGAAATAAAACGACAAACCCACTCAAAATATTGCCAGAGACGACATTATAGTAGAATTCTGGTGAATTAACCTAGGCGAAAAACTCTGTGTAGTACTCTTTGGTGAACAACAGAAAATAAGTGGTCAAAGGTGAATTCATGATTGGCACCATGTCCAATTCCGCTGCAGGCCCAACCAAACAGGATATTGAGGCAGTGTTTCACCGCCTACGTGCCCAACCTGCCAATAAAGTAAGCAAATACATAGTATGCTGGTAACTAAAGCAACAACAAAAGACACCTGACTGGTGTTTTTTTTTTTTACAATTGGTAATGATGACAAGTGGCTAATTTTGAAG